GTTGTGGCTGCAGTGAGCTGTGATTGTACCACTGCACTCCAGCCTGGGCAACAGGGCAAGACACCATTCAAAACAACACTAAACAAATGAAAAACTACTACCTAAATGTCCATCAACAGGTAAAGAAATAAACCATTAGGCATATTGCCTAATGTTTATACAAAATGTAGTATATGCATAAACTGGAACATTGTTCAGTTATGAAAAGAAAAAGATCCTGTCACGCGCAACAACATGAATGAACTCTGAGGACATTATACTAAGTAAAACAGGCCAATCACAGAAGGACAAATACTACATCAGTCCAATTATGAATAGTGGTTGCCAGGGGCCAGAGGGAGGAGGAAATGGGGATCTGTTGTTCAAAAGTTACCGTTTCCAGTCATACCAGATGAAAAAGTTCCAAAGAGCTGCTGTACAACATTGTGCTTCTCTTAACAATGCTGCACACTTTAAGAGGGCAGATCTCATGTTATGTGTTTAACATACATGCACACACACACTCTCCAAAAAACTATCAAAGTCTTAAGAAGCTTTACAAGGAGAATATATAGTTTATTGAGGATCTTTGTAAGACGATGCAAAGAATGAGGGAAAAAAACAAAAGGATCGGCTGGGCACAGTGGCTCACGCCTATAATCCAGCACTTTGGGAGGCCAAGGTGGGCGCATCACGAGGTCAGGAGTTCCAGACCACTCTGGCTAACATAGTGAAACCCCGTCTCTACTAAAAATACACAAAATTAGCTGGACATGGTGGTCTGCACTTGTAATCCTGGCTACTCGGGAGGCTGAGGCAGGAAAATTGTATGAACCCGGGAGGCGGAGGTTGCAGTGAGCCGAGATCACACCATTGCACTCCAGCCCAGGCGACAGTGCGAGACTCCATCTCAAAAAAAAAAAAAAAAAAAAGATCTTTGATTCAGAGTCAGACGTGGTATGGCAAATTTGTATTGCTGTAAAATATCTATAAATCCTATGAACTAAAATTACACCCAGTGACCAGTTTGGCTAAAAATACTTGATAATGTTTCTGCTTTTTCTCTTATGCTACAAAACACTCTATGCTTCCTGAAATCACATTATAGAAAATAAGGTCTCTATTTGATGTCAAAGTGACTATTAAAGAGCTCTTTTCTCAGAAAAATTCTACAAAGACTTATGTTAACTATGAACTTTAAGCATGGCCAGGGGCAGTGGCTCATGCCTGTAATCCAAGCACTTTGGAGGCCAAGGCGGGCGGATCACCTGAGGTCGGGAGTTTAAGACCAGCCTGACCAACATGGTGAAACCCCATCTTTAAAAATAAATAAATAGAATGTGGCACATATACACCATGGAATATTATGCAGCCATCAAAAACGATGAGTTTGGGTCCTTTTTATGGACATGGATGAACCTGGAAACCATCATTCTCGGCAAACTGACAGAAGAGCAGAAGATCAAACACCACATGTTCTCACTCATAGGTGGGTGTTGAACAATGAGAACACATGGACACAGGGAGGGGAGCACTACACACTGGGGTCAGTTTGGGGGAAACAGGGGAGGGACGGTGGTGGGTAGGGAGCTGGAGAGAGATAGCAAGGGGAGAAATGCCAGATGTAGGTGATGAGGAGGAAGGCAGCAAATCACACTGCCACGTGTGTACCTATGCAACAATTTTGCATGTTCTTCACATGTACCCCAAAACCTAAAATGCAATAAAATAAAGGGAAAAAAAATAAAATAATAAATAAANGAATTGCCTGAACCCAGGAGGCGGAGGTTGCAGTGAGCCGAGATCACGCCATTGCACTCCAGCCTGAGTAACAAGAGCGAAACTCCGTCTCAAAAAAAAAAAAAAAAAAAAAAAAATTTTTTTTTTTTTTTTTTTTTTTTTTTTTTTTTTTTTTTTTTTTGAGATGGAGTCTTGCTCTGTAGCCTAGGCCAGAGTGCAATGGCACAATCTGGCTCACTGCAACCTTTGCCTCCTGGGTTCAACTGATCCTCCCACCTCAGCCTCCCAAGTAGCTGGGATTACAAGCATGTGCCTGGCTAATTTTTTAAATTTTAGTAGAGATGGGATTTTACCATGTTGGTGAACAGGCTTGTCTCAAACTCCTGACCTCAAATGATCCATCCACCTCAGCCTCCCAAAGTGCTGGGATTATAGATATGAGCCATCTATAAGAACAGATGCCCAGCTGACAGGAATATATTTTAGGCAACTGTATAATATCATAAAATATATCCAGGATGTGAAATGATCTTTATAAACTATACATATTATTTTTTCCTTTCTTTTTTTTTCTTTTGAGATGGAGTCTTGCTCTATCGCCCAGGCTGGAGTGCAGTGGCATGATCTCGGCTCACTGCAACTTCCGCCTCCCAGGTACAAGTAATTCTCCTGCTTCAGCATCCCAAGTAGCTGGGACTACAGGCGCATGCTGTCACGCCCAGACAATATTTTGTATTTTAGTAGAGAGTGGATTTCACTGTGTTATCCAGGCTAGTCTCAAACTCTGGAGCTCAGGCAATCTGCCCTCCTCAGCCTCTCAAAGTGATAGGATTACAGGTGTGAGCCCCCGCGCCCAGCCCGTATCATTATTTATTTCTTAAGCTCTAAATGACCTCAATGAACTCATCTGTTTTTTTTCCCATTTTCTTTTGTCTTTCTAACCTATGTTACTCAGGGTAACATCTCATGGTAAAAATGCTTAACTCCTTGTATTTATCAAGTCTGTATTAATCAAAGTATATCTGTTAGACAATAACAAATGATGATGAAATGTGGAGATATCAGAATCCTTATAGTACTGCTGGTCGGAAGGTAAAATAGTGCAACCACCTTGGAAAAGAGTTTGGCAGGTCCTCAGTCTTCTTCATTAGTCCAAAACTTGGAACCAACCCCATACCCATCACCTGTAGAAGAAACACATAACGAAGGCCCAGTATGATGGCTGATGCCTATAATCCCAGCACTTTGGAAGGCCAGTGAAGGCAGACTGCTTGAGCCCAAGAGTTTGAGACAAGCCTGGGCAACATGGCAAAGCCCCATCGTGGCAAAAATACAAAAATTGGCCAAGCATGGTGCTGTGAACCTGTGGTCCCAGCTATTCAGGAAGCTGAGGTGGGAGGATCACCTGAGCACAGGGAGGTTGAGGCTTCATTGAGTTGTGATCACGCCACTGCCCTCCAGCCTGGACAACTG